TTTACGGTTCTAGGGTTTAGGGTTTACGGATCCTTGAAGCAACATGTTGCCGGTTTCAGGGCTTGGTTTTAAGCCGCCACGAACCCGAAACTGCAGCCTCGGCCCTAAATCGTATGCAGGCCCGCCAAGGGACAGAGCCAGGAAGCACCGCATGCAAAGATGCTCAAGCGCAGGTTTAGGGTTTAGGGTTTAGGGTTTAGGGTTGAAGCAAGCTGCTTTAAGGCTTCGGGGTGGGGAGCTTTCGAACATCCGAAGGCGACAGGGCTCGAACGGGCCTGTGGAGTTTTAGTGTGTATTTACTATGCTATATCAGGTGTTATGTATTGTGTGTACTCTTTCTTATTCTGTGTATCGTACCGTGCATTACAAACGATATATTTTTGTTGATGCATATAGTTCGAACTGTATATATGTATACTATACCCTACAATCTTGTATAACATATGTCCTTTGTTCTGTTGTTTTATGGTAGTGGACTCATAAGATCCGGATGTTGACTAAGACTGTGGTCCTTTCTTCAGGTTCTTAATCACGGGGTCCCGGCTGACATTACACTAAAATCACGGAACCCCCATAACTTGACTAAGTCCCCTCGGTCTGCTTCGTGCTCTTCTAGCGATAAACGAAGGGTGCCCTCATAACCTGTCTTAAGGCCTTATGGTTGGCCCTAACCTTATGGAACCCTGTCGTCCCTGATCCCCAGACAGTTGATTGTGAAGAAACAATCACTTCGCCACCGAAGTGCAAGTCTTGGCAGTCACCCCCACTGATCATAGTGGCGCAACCACAGTCGCCGATGTTACTGGCATACTGAAAGTATGTACCAGCACACTCCTGCAGTAAGGGCGATTGGGGTTCTTAGAGCTTTGAAAGAGTGTCGAGAAGCTTTGAGGGGGTTAGAGAGGGTGGTATACGGCTTTCCACCATCGTTTAGGGATTGGTGGCTTTTCGGTTCAGAGTCCTCACTGTCTCCAAAAGTTCTTCCTGAAGCAGTTCCTGAAATTGGTATCCTTCCCCTAAACCCTAAACCCTAAACCCTAAACCCTAAACCCTCAACCCTAAACCCTAAACCCTAAACCCTAAACCGGTCTCGGTACAGTGGCTGCAGGCTTCAAGGACTTGAGCCCCTCAACCCGAAACCCTGAGCCCTCTTGGTGCTTAGATGTAGTGTAGGGGCCTAAACAAATAGAATAGGGTTTTGGAGTTTTTTGTTTCTACTATACGTATAATAAGGAGCCCCCCAAATATTATAGGTACTTATTAAGGCCCCCTAAAGCGGAGTTTCCGAAAATTAGGGGTACCTTATTTGGGGGTCCTTATAAGAAGGATCCTACTGTTTTAGGTACGATGTTAGGGTCCCCTATTTTCCCAAACCCCCTTTTTAGAGTCAGGAAATCTAGGGGCTTGGGATTGAGAGTGCAGGGTCATGGCTTGGGTTCATCATCCGTCCTCACACCCCTTTAGAAAGACATACGGCGAAAAAAGCAGAGGGATTGGGGGCTAAGGGTGTCTGGTGTCGGGATGTGTACTTGTAGGAGCATGGGATTTACGGATACAAGTAATTATAACGCTTGTATCTATACACTTATGTGCTGAGTACCATGATCCTCATAGCAGGGTTTAGCGGACTTCCTAACCCGTGCTCTGACGCATGTGTTTTCTTGCCAAAACGTGCGTTCCTCCCCAAAATAAAAATGCCAATTTTTCAAGTTGACAAGAGATTCGGGAGATGCAACAGCATGCAAGCAATTTATTTTTCGGAATTGTTTTGTGATTTTTTCATTGTCGGAGAGTTTGTTTTTCAAAACAAGGTTGTGCAGAGTTGCATGCGGTGATGCCGCTGTTCTATCGCCACGGTGTTCGGCTTAGTTGTCTGTATTTCGCAATTCGGGACAACACTGACATCTTGACATGGTGTCTTGTTTGTCATACGGGGCAGGATATGTGGCTGTTTTTCCGTGCGCTATACATGTCTGGTTTTCCCCATTAAGACGCGTTTCCTTTTGGAATTTCTCATGTTGGTTTGTGCACGCAGCAACGCGTAGGCCAGGAAGGTGTCAGAGATTGCAGTGCAAAAACCATCAGAGTCGGTGAGACGGTCCGATGTCTCCCTTAAGACACCGCAGTGTGGTTAAGGTTTTGGGTTTAGGGTTCATGGTTTAGGGTTTAGGGTTTAGGCTTTAGGCGCTTTCATGCTGGAGTGGAGTTGTCGTATTCGCAGAGTACGGAGCACGTTAGTATTTTATCATGGCTCGATCATGGATGCTCTGCGGCAAGGAATGGAGTCTGAGTGGACGTTATCATGGTTCAATCATGGATGCTCTACGGCAACGAATGGGGTTTGAGTGGACGTTTTCCAGGTGATCATGGATGCTGTTGGGATGACCGATGCTCTGCGGGAGGCGTTCGGACGGCGTTCTGACTGGAAGTCGGTTCAAATAAGCAAAACCCGCGGGTCAGGATAGGTGACATAAGGTAAAACATACAATTTACTGCCTAAGCCATTTCAAAGTTTAAGCAAATTTGAACTCCCGCAACAAAAACTACCAGTTAGTTTTCCCTGGCCGCTCAAGATCAGATAAAGCTTGAAAACTTTTGGTTTGAACCCTAAAATTTAAACCACCAGGATACCCTACGAGCTATGGTTGAAACCTATTCTAAACGCTTAAATCCGCGTCCTCAAAGAGCCCAAACTTCACCTGTCCGGGGGCATTCTACTCTAGGGGTGTGAACACTTACTATAAAAATTAGACCTTACCGTCCAGAGATACCTCTAGTACACTCTGCTCCAAAGCCCTATAATCGAATTACTAAGCTCCCTATAGCACTGAAAACATTGAAAACCGACAGGAACCCTTTGAGGAGCCCTTTCCAGAAGCCCTAAAATAGGGGCCTTAATAAATAGAATAGGGTTTGGGGGTATCTTCTACTATCATCATAAGAAGGAGCCCCCAAGTTAGTCGGTAATTCAGTCGGTGATTAATGAAGTCCCTATATTCTTCTAACTCCATCCGACCGCGGGTCATTGCCGGTGCGTGCCGCGGCAAGGACGCGGCAGCTCTCGAGGGAGCCAGGGACGCTCCAGAGCGAGAAACTTTGCAGGTTGACCTCGGTTTAGGGTCTCAGGGTTTAGGGTTTAGGGTTGCGGGGTGTAGGGGTTTACGGTTTAGGGATTTAGGGTGTAGGCTCGGCGCAAGGAGCCATCTTTGACCTAGTCATAAGATAAGGGTATAGGGTTTGAGGTTTACGGTGGCGCCGTCGGACCCTCGTACCCGTGAAAATCATGCATAAACCGTAGCATTCGTCATAATCTTCTTGTTATTCAGATTTACCCTAAACCCTAAACCCTAAACCCTAAACCGTTTTGAGCCGTTCACTACGGAAGCCTTGAGGCTGCTGTATGTGGCACGGTAGAGGGGCTCTACGTGGGCTTCGGCGGGGTCCTGAATGCAATGATACCTAGGCCACAAGGCGCCTGATTCACACATACATACAGACATACAGACATGAAGACAGACAGCCAGACAGACAGACAGACAGACAGACAGACAGACAGACAGACAGACACATACATATACATATACATATATATATATATATAACAGTATGTATGTGTGTATATATATATATGCTGAACTACTTATAAGTATATATATACACATACATATACACATATACACATATACACATATATGCATATACACATATACACGTATATACATATCTACATATGTACATATGTACATAAATTCATATATACATCTTTTGTGCGTGTGTGTGTGTGTGCATATATATATATGTATATATATGGTCAGGCGTCGTAGGGGGGAGGGGGGGGCTGGCGTGTGCGGAGAGGCGGCGGTTGGGTGGGGTGCTGCTGGGGGGCGCCAAGCAGGGCTCACATGCAGAGAGGGCAGGGATCTTACGCAAGCCCTACGCAAGCCCTAAACCTTACAACGCGTGTTCCTGTTTTTGTTAACCTTAACCTGTAAACTTTAAACCTTACACCCAACCCTAAACCCCGCCTAAATGCAGACAGAAAAAATGTCGGCCCTGAATCCTAAACCGCTCCTCACGGAGAATCCCAGAGCTGCTCCTGTCCCAGGCGCATAGTCCCTGCAGTGGACTCCCATCTTCCAAAGATGGGGCGCCGTGGATTTGTAGATGGCCCAGTTGCTCTCTTCCTGGGCTTTGAAGTTACCAGGCCAAAACAGAAGGTGTAAACTGTTAGTTCAGAATGGCTCCTGTAAACAGGTCCCAAAACAAACGTATATACCCTAAACCCCAAACCCTAAACCATTAAAAGCATGCTACACCAGAGCCAGGGTTCCGTCTTCTCGTTACAGTTGTCCCGGGCGCAGCCACAGTCCTGATCGGGTTCAGGGTTTAGGGTTTAGGGTTTAGAGTTTAGGGTTTAGGGTGTAGGGTCTAGGGTTTAGGGTCTAGAGTTAGGGTTTAGGGTGTAGGGTCTAGGGTTTAGAGTTTAGAGTTTCGAGTTTAGGGTTTAGAGTTTCGAGTTTAGGGTTTAGAGTTTAGGGTTTAGGCTGAGACTCAAAAACCCTTGATAAGGGAGTTTGGAGGTTCACCGTCACGAGGGTTTAGGGCTTTCGGCCTTATGGGATGTGTGGTAATTCTATGCTTCCTCTGCGATGGGTTTAGGGTTTAGGGTTTGGGGTTCAGGGTCTGGGGCTTAGGGTTCAGGGTTGTGGCTGATTTTATGCTCCTGAGCAAGAAGCCAGCTGCGACCCAAAACCTGATTTCAAACCCGCAGAGAGCCCTTGAAAAAGACTTCTTAAAAAAAAAGCAAACAGGCCCTAATAACCTAGGTAACCCAAGGGACCCACTTCTGGGGAACCCCCAGCAAAGCCCTGGGGGACCTTTCGAAACCCTCAAAGCCCTGCAGCCCCCGCTCCTCGTTGCTGGCATATTGGAAGAAACTGCCGGAGCAGCCTAAGAGCAAAGGAACAACGAGAGAGCAGGGCACTTTGGGGTTTAGGGGCTTTAGGGTTTAGGGCTTGGGGTTTTGGGGGCTTGGGGTCTAGGGTTTGGGGTTTTAGGGGTTTGGGGTCTTAGGGTTTGGGGTGTTAGGGTTTAGGGTTTCGGGGTTTAGGGTTTAGGGCTGAGGGTTCGCTGTGGAACAGCGTGTGGGCGACAGTATCTTGTGACAAGCTGTGTCGAGTGCATGGTACTGAAGCGATGAGCTGCGAAAGCCTGTGTAGAGAAGGCTTGTCCTTCTTTCTCTCCCATTATAGCGCGGCCGAACCACCTGAGCCTCTTCCTTTTAGGGCTTAGACCTTAAAACCTTAAACCCTAAACCCTAAACCCCCTAACCCCTAAACCCTAAACCTGCCACCACACGACCCAGCAGGGCAGGGCGGACCGAGCTCGACTTCCCAGAATCTGGCCAGGTCCCCCCCTAGGACCAACTTGGAGGTGCAGGTCCCTGAAACTGCTCACAGTGGGTGGGCGGCCTGTGTCTTGAGTTCAGGGTTTAGGGTGAAGGGGGGGTTAGGATCTTAAAACCTCATCCGAAAATGTAGGTAAAGGTGGACAGCACCCATTCTTTGAGAGATTTAATTTCAGGCTTGTACACGACCCTATTGTGTTTGAAAAGTTATTGGAGGCTGCCTGCTAAGGAACTCAACATTACGTTTAGTACGTACTGCAGTTGGATAGGACATCGACGTTTTAAAATTAGTAAAATAATGATATATCAAATGGCAAACATCTTGCCTTCTCCACCTAGTACAAGCCACTAAATGCTGTAAGGACACAGCGTTTTCAAAAGGAAATACTGGGGCCCTGACAATACAGCTACGCCCGTCCTTTGTGGTAAGGGTTAAAGCTACTGTTGGTTGGGTTGGATGCCCCTAGCTACCAAGAGTGACCATAAGAGGACCCTAAACCCTAAACCCT